CCATTTCAATTTGCTCAGGCCCAGACTAAAAAGAATGAAGGCATTATCAAACACTGCTCGGGCCTTCACTGCAGTCGAGCTGGAGTACAAGCCCACTGCAGAAACAGTACTTAAAGATGTTGCAGTAGATCCTCTGAGTCACATGACTGTAGCTACTTAGCCAAGTGGAAGTCTGATCCTCGAAGAGTAGGAGCCAGGAGTCCCTCTGGAGTACAAGCAGTAATGGCATAGTAAAATAGGCCTTCATCTTTTAAATAATACACACATCAGATCAAGGCTATATAATGTAAAACTCTCTCATATCGCAAGATATTCAACACTGTCATTTGAAGGCGAGTTTGACCTTTTTAACCAAGGATGGGAGGAACTTCTCGCCTTTCAACCATTTTCAATTCTGCAAGGCAACACCATCAGTGCATTTTGCAGAACAATTTATGACTGAGGAGTGCTTCAGGCAGCAAATGAACAGCTCCTTTTAAAAGTCCCCTAAAAGCTTTGCTGCAAAGAGGAGAGGCAGTTAAGTAGCTCCACGACTAAGCTGGCAAGCCGGGAAATCGTTGCATCCTGGAGTTTTCTCTGGGCATAATGGGAAGTGTGTATTGCAATAGAAAGAGAGTCTGGAAGGCAAAAAGATTGGTATCGACTTAGTTTAGTGCAGAATAAAATTCCAGCTTACAACATTTGAATTTACTGCAACACAAGGCGTCTGGCTTTGGGAATAAAGTTGCTTTAAACTGATAAAGCCAATAAGAGCAGCCTTGAGTCACACCTGATTTGCCAATAGCACCCTGCAGTGTCCTGTTGAGCACTTACTGCAAGAAGACAGAGCAGGAGGAGACCAAGATATCACTGTTAAATATTTACGCTGCCTCCCACTGTGTGCTCAGGCATGACATACAACCTGAATCTGGCATTAAATGCGGCCATATTTCTCTCACACATGCCGCAGAGAGAACTTCTCTGGGCAGCAAATGGACATGAATATGAAAAGAATAAGATGCTGAAGGAACAAGAATCCTTTGTGATGGGGTGCTTGAAAAATTGATGCAGCTCTCAAAGCTAGAAAGCTTGATCTCTACTTGAGTGGTCCTGAGCTGAGTAGTTTGAGAGCAGCAGTCTGCCAAAGGCACGGATGCCCATTGATGTGCATCCCTCAGCTCGCTGACTGAACAATTGACAATTTTGATAGCAATACTATCTAATTTTGATCTCCCGGAATGAATTAGTCACTTAAGCCCAGGAACAACAGTACCACTCCAACATGACAGCAATAAGTGGAAGTTCAATTATGGGATAGACTTTTCAAAAAGAACACTTGACACTAACATAAATACGAGACAATGAGCTGTTATGGCCGTGCACGTCACAGCACTTCCTCCACTTTCTCTCTGATTTCTCTCTCTACCCCAATGTGCAACACAGGCTCCAGTCAACAACATGAATAATGCAGTTCTCCTCAAGAGTCCTGCTGAAGCACGTCAGCCTGCGTGACTGAGAACTGAACCACTCATTTCCTTGGCTGGGAAACACAATATTGCATTCGCCCAAAAACAGTGCTCTTCACTCATCTGTTACTCTGTCGGGCTTCCTATTCATGTGCAGGGCTGTGTGACGGCAAACAACAACACAACAACCTTTCTTGGCTCAGTTGCAAATAATATGAAATCATGTCATCGTATATAGCGTGAGGCACAGTGGCAGATTAAATAACATCTAATAACAACCTGTCTTTACTGGGAGCTATCTTAAACCAGAGTGCCTGCAGGAGAGAGGCACGGTAATGGCATGAGAGGCTGATACACACTTAAGACAAGGGATTGAGATGGACTGATCCGTCGCTCATGGGAGGATAAACTGACAAAAAAGCAAGCTGATTATTCAGAGATTAAGATATTTGCATGAAAATACGAGATGAGCCATGGTCTCAGCTTAAAGGGGGGCAAAGGTGAAGATTAAAATGTGCAAGTAGATGAAAACAATGAATAATGGGGCAGTAAAATGAATGATAAAAAAGCAGAGCACATTACGCTATGTATACAGACACTAATGCATTGTGCTGGACGGTGCTGGGGGCCTTAAAGCACACACACTGCTGTTGAAACCGGCAGATGGACCAACAGAAAGAAGGCTGCATCTGGAGCACTGAGGCCATTCAGGGAGATGAGTGACTTCATCCTGAGCTCTCGGTTGTCAGCAGCACCTCACCCCACTTGGCAATGACTTATGTGCTCATTAGGGGAGCCTCACCACCAGCACAGAGGCTGATTACTGCAGAGCAAACAGAGCCAAGTAGCAGACTAACCTCAAGAGAGGGAAGGGGGGGGAGAAAAACACAAATTGATCGAGCAATAAAGTCTTATATGTGTGGATCATTTGGCAGGTTAATTATAGCACCAACGCTTGCAGACATTACAATCTGGATGGGTGCATCAACATTTGTTTATGCTACAGTCAAATTAGGGTTATACCTAAATGATATTTTCTGCAATTATTTGACCATTAAAGCTGAGCCCAAAGTTTAGAGTGAATGTTACAGTGCTTAAATGATCTACAACAAGGTTTAAAGTCGAATATGTAACAGTAGTTCTTGTCAATACTAAGAAAAATTAGGTTTGCTGTCACTATTTGACATTTGACACCTCCATGAATACAACGGCCTCAGATGGGCAAAGTTTCCAACTACTGTGGCGACTTTATATTTTAACTGGAAAACCTATGGAAACAGTTAAAAAACAGCGCTATTTTTTGTTTTTTAAAAAGCCCCTTTAGGTAACTACAAGACCTGGCAACTTTCTCTAGTTAGGGACACATATTGAGCTGCACACACAAGCATCAAGATCGTCTGTCATGTGGTGACTGTCGGAATCTAAGCTAGTTTACTCGGGCTAATGCTAACCACACACACACACACACATATATAATTTTAGTTAGCACCAAATATGAATTAACACTGACTTTCACAAAGCTGTGTGTATGATAAAGAGAGCTGGTCAGCGCAGACACAAACCTCCCTAACTCCTACACAGTGCAGCAGGTAAACACGAGTACATTTAGCGTGAAAAGAGAAATGAGTTAACCAACTACAGCGCTAACTAGCTCGACTAGCTTAGCATTTTACCTTGTCGGAGTCGAGCTCGGGGTCAGCTTGGCTCAGTCTGTAGAGAAATGATTTTGGATCTCGACACAGCGTCTGTCTCGTTGTTAAGAAATACGTCCCGCCGACGTTTAGTCGGATCCATTTCGATGCCCCGACGCCGGCAGAAGTGTTTCTCTCCGCTGAAGAATGGGCCATACATCTCCGGTGAACGGAGCTGCTCGTCTCGGAGCTGTTCTCTGCCATCCCTCTCCTCGTCTCCTCCGCCCTCAGCTCGGCTCTGTCTGTCTGTGCGGCTGACAGGAAATATCTAGCTGCAGCCACTAACTTTAGGGAGTCCACGATTCATGCAAAGCAGGCTGCCAGCGCCTCGGCCACTCCTACTAACCCACTCCACCAGCACTGACTGAGTCTTGCATAAATTATTCCAGAGGAAAGAGGTCCTCCCCAGCTCGACGCTTCAATATGGAGCAATGATCTCTTGATACTGAGAGCCTGGAAATGTCAAAGCGTAGGGAAATGTACAATCTTAAGAGCTAGGGTGCCAAACACCTTATTCATATTACTGTTTATGGTATTTCATGATAGAAAATGTGTTAAAGTATCCAACCAGGTTGAAGTTTTCTCATGTGATGTTTGCGTTAAAGTAATTCTCAAGACACAAAAACACTTATAATGGGCCCGTACTTTATTTACATGCTGCAAAATGTGAGATGCCATTGCCACTGAAAGCTGCTGCTTTCACTGTGTCATGACTGGTTGTTAACAGAAGACAGGACACATGGCTTTATTTGTATGCCTAAATCCCTACATGCTTTAATTACTGGACTACCAAGCATTAAGTGGAAAATTCATCATTCAACATCTACTGACCTAGCGCACAAATAATCAGAGAGAGAATGAACAGATTCATTAAATTATCAGAATATGATTAAATCACTGAGCAAATAGAAAATGTATGATATAGTAAGAAAAAAGCTGTAAAATATTATAGTTTACAATAATTATTCACATTCAAAGGCTTTACATCTCAATACATACACAACATGGCCCCTGAACATGACTTCAATCCAAATATGATTCATATATTAGAATTTAAATAACACAGAATGAACTAGAGGCTAAACAATAGCCATCAAATAACCTTATACAAGAATAAAAATACAAAAACTGTATCCTAATATCATTGCATTACTTGCTTCAGATTTTAATAATACATCATCTGTACATCACAGTTCTAGTCAGTTACAAGCCAGGTAGAGTATTCCATACACAATGTAACCGACTGCCATCGACTTGATTCAAACAATTTTTCTAACTAGAGGAAAACACTTTTCCAGTGCTTCCTCAACTTTATAGACAGATACAGCAATTTCATCGGTTATTTGGATCAGATAGATATCCTTTAACTGACATCCAACCACATCGAGCCCCGAGCCCCAGGGCCAGAGGGTCCTATTCACCTATACTCCAGTCACACACTGCACACACAGACTCAGCTGAAGGAAGAGGACCTTTGGAAAGGACCTTAAGGTAATATGTCAAAAATTAAAAGCATTATGATAATACATATTGCTAAAACAAGAGCACAAGTTAAATCAATCGCTTTAATTTCTATTGGGCCAAACGTCAGAATGAAAAAAAAAAAAAAGTAAAGAAAAGAAAAAGACAGGCCAATAAGCCTGATGAGGCAGTTCTGCCATCTTGTCCAGGGACAACAGCTTTACTGTGATTGCTTCCGAGAATGATAGTATGTGTATGTATCTCTGTTGATGAAGGTTTTATGTTCAGCATGGGGTGGTCAGCACATAAGATTTAGTTTTCAATAGGACGTACTGAAGATGAGCCGACTATCCCACCGAAAAGGAAACTGAAGAATTCACACCACAAAGAAATAGCCAGTGAATGGTACAGAACAGCCAAATCATCCAATAATATTCGCTATGGTTGCCAATGCAGTCAAAAATACCCACCTTTAAACTTGAATAAACTATATCTCCAGTGCCCTAGGAGAGAGAAGCGGACAAGGCTGAGCTACAAAACTGGCCATGCAGGAAAGATAAGCAAGTTATGATTAGGAAGTACAAGCTAGTGGCATGTTTACCCGCCCCCTGTTAGCAATACATCTTCAGTAACGGCAATGGAAGGCTCACACTTATACAGAGACTGATTCAGACCCATGTCTCACTGCAGACCGCCGCTCTGCTTTGTTATATCGAGACCTTAATTGGACTGCAATAAGCAAGTACCAAGAGACTAAAAACAACAAAAAAACAAAAACAACTCAAATACTGTGGGAACATTTGGGCTCTGACAAAAATATATATGTATAGGATTTGAGTTTGGTAAACATGTGAAACTGAATCAGCTTACAGTATCTGTTACAACTATGGAGTATTTGCATTAGAAGTGGGGCCTGACTACAGCTTGCGCGTACAATGAGGGATTAGGATATGGTTTAATTAAGATATCAGGATAGGCTCTGGTTCACAAAAGCTAGATTTGTGTTATGGTATCATTGAAGCAGGAAACCAGTCCTTGCATTTGAGATAGTCCTAGCGGTACCCAAGCTACAGGACAAGCTTGCCCTTCTCTTCCCCCCTGCAGAATGTACAAAAAGCAGATGTGCATGGTGGCAGTCTTATCATCCATACATGGAAAAATGCAATAGAAGCCTCACAGAGAGCACAAAGAACAAGCAAAGCAACCCTGAATCCAAAGTTGTATTTTTCCCATGGTTCTACTCAGGAAAACAAACAAGGTCTAGATGCCAGCGTCTCTAAGAGTTTGTTTACATTGCGGTGATGAAGGGCACTAAAGAGGGTGTTACTCTGCTCAGTGATTGGCCTCAGAGCTAAAGAGGAGTGGCCACAAGAGGAACTGTGCTCCTATAGGCCAGGGTTTTGGTGCCTTTGATAGATCTTTCTCCACACTTCCTGGATCTTCTTGCACCATCTGTCAGCATTTCCGCTGGGGTCCATCAAATAGTATGTTCGGTTAGGCTGCAAACATCACAGAAAATGAAAAAAAAAGGAAACCACATATGAGAAGAGGGTTTAAACAGTGGGCAAGTATCAACAATATGCTGGACAGACATCAGTCATGTACCGTGTGAACAAAGAAGGTTTTGAAGTTCTTGGCCTCAGGGCGTAGCTCTAGGGACCAAGGAATCTCCCCTTTCAGGACCTTGTTGACAGGATCCACGTAGTACAGGTGTGGTCCTTCAGTGAGAAGCAGCTGTCTCCGTCGCGCAAACAAACCCTGCAATGGAATGCCACACATCGAGACATTAGTTCACCAACAGAGGGGGCTATGAGGCCAGTGAGACTTTTCCTCAGCACAGCAGGGAATTCCCCATTATTTTCTATATGCTAGCAGTCAGGGCAATACCATGGGAAGTGATTTCATTTATGCTGAGCCAACTTTAACTGGAGAACCTGTTTACATTTTACTTTGGAACTACTCCAAAACGTAGCTACTTATAGTCTGGTTGGCAGAAAACTCTTAATATATAGGAAAGTTTCACACAAAAAAAGTGTTCAAATTAAAATATAAGTAATATAAAAATCTCAAAAAAGTATATGGGCTAGAATTCACAAACCTTTCGTTTATCCACTGGGCCCATTTTCAGGATCAGGTTATTCTCCACAAACTGGTGCCTGTGTAAATGAGCAACAACAGATTACTGACAACCCCTCTCTTTCACTCTAAGATTCATTCATTCCCCCCAAATGTTGGACTGTCATATAAATTACTAATCTAAAAATAACATAATTTAAATGACATTATCAAGACTTTGATCCAAGATTGATACTGGTTTAAATAAAATTATGACCAGCACACAAATACACACACAGATTCATAGGATGAAACATGGGAGGGGTTTACCAGGGGTTTCCAGTGGTCTGTTTGTCCAGCAATAGCTGCTTCTCTTCATCAGTGAACTGGAGGTCCAGCTCAAAAGAGTTATTGTCCAGGTCATGGATGTACTGCTCAATGTTGCTGCTGGACCTCTGCGGGGGCGTGGATTCATGTGGTGACAGAGAGTGTGATGAGCTGGACTGGGCCACCTGCATGTTGCTGAACTGGCTCAGGAGGTCATCGTACTAAGATTAAAAAATGAGACAGGTGAGAAAAGGTTAGTGATATTTACTTGAAGATTTGTTTAGGGTTTGGGGGGAATCTATATCTTTCAACAAAGCACCACACCCAAGCTTTCCATCAAATAAGCAAACAATGGACACAAAAAAAGAGAGATCTGGACCGTAGTGAAATATCTTACGTTTCCATAGCAGTCCTCATCATCCTCAGACATGGCTGGCAGGTATGGGGTGAGTTTGGGGGGTGTCTGTATGTGTAGGTCACTCCAGGAGATGGTATCAAAGAAGGGGTGCTGCCTCAAAGGGTTGTACCCTCCCATCTCTTCACACCCAATCCGCTTGGACGGGTCCAGTGACTGAGGCAAAAAACAGAAACAGATAGGACATGTTTTTATTTCAGTAGAAAAGCACTTCCCTGTAAAAAAAAAAAAAAAACGACACCAGGAAAGACGAGCAAAAATGTCCCCACAGATATCAGTGACATAACTGTATCCTCCATTTTTTGAATCATGGTGATTTTTGACCTACCAAAAGCTGTTTGACGAGATCCTTGGCTTTGGGGAAGAATTTCTCTGGGAATTCATACTCCAGCTTTATTATCTTCTGGAATATTAGGTACTCATTTCTACCACATATGAAACAAGATGAAAAGAACCAAAAAAAGTTAAGTTAAGTGTACCACAAGTGAAATGGTAATATTACTGGGGCAAGGTTATTCTCATGCCTAGCATTTGTTGCACTTGAATTGATCTTAAACAGTAAATGGGAAAAATAGCAATGCAGCATGATCAGCCAATACTGAAGCCTGAATTAACAAGGATTAACTGAACTGTGACAACACCCCCCTTAATACTTACCCAGCTCTGAATGGTGGTAAACCAGCCACCAGCTGATAGATAATACATCCCAAGGCCCAGAGGTCAGAGCTTAAAACAAGGGAAAACAGAAAAACACTTGTGAGGTCACTCTTATCTGACATATAAAAGAGAACAATAATTAGTAAGTGTATCAGTTGCATGATGACCAATCTTCATTACCTCTTGCAGGCTGATTTCTCTGTTAGCAGCTCTGGAGACACGTACTGTGCTGTTCCAACAAAGGAGTTTGCTCTCGCTGCCAAACGATAAAAAGACGCAAATAACTTCACATTGCTCACAGAAAGTAAAATCCTACATTCATTTCACTAGTACACCAATATTTTATGCTGAAAAGTACAAGTACAATTGTGGTTATACCTTGTTTACTGTCTGATGATAACTGTTTTGCTGTCCCAAAATCTGTAATCTGGATGTGCAT